GGGGCAGGGGGGTAGTGATGTCATTCTAGTAGGTGGGTACCCGTGTGCTCTGCCCCCAGGAATCAATGGTCAGCCCGGGGGCCAAGTCAGAGAAACTTCAACCTTAAGGGTAGTTCCATAAACCCCTGTAAAAGTCTGAGGAGCTCCACAGGGGAAGAAATGGAACCCCCTAGATGGAGCTGATGGCTGGTGGGTGCATAGGCCCCTGGGGCAAATGAGGAGTGAGCTGAATGCAGTGAGGAGACTAAGAAATCAGAACGTTAACCACAGAAGGGGTTGCCCTATGACACAGAACCCACCAAGGAGCAGAGAAGAGATTTGGCTGCTGTTGTGTGGTGGGGATACAAGGGGTTTCTATGTCTTTCCTCATTTGGGGGCCAGAGTGGCCCATCCTACCTGGGGGACAGGGACAAGGAGAGAAGACTCATGCATCAGGGAAGGCTGGCCCTGGGTGACCATGTCCAGCTTGTAGTTTCTGATTCCCTCTGGCCAACTGGCAAAAAAGGAGCCACAGCCTGGCTCTCTGCCAGTCTCCCAGCCAAGGCCTGGTTTCTAGCCTGGCTCCTTCACAGGGCAGGAAGGCGCAAGAGCTGAGAAGCAGGAGCAGAGGAGACGGCAGACCTCACCAGCTGGCTCAGTTTTCCTCAGCACAGGGCCTGTTTGGCCGTAACCGTTCCTCAGCCCGGGGTCGCCCAGGCTCGGGCAACCCCGGCTTTGCAGACAGTTCAGACCTTTCGAGGGAGTTGTGCAGTCGCCTGTAGACACTGAGTGTGCAGTCGTCACCTTCCTCCTGTGCCAACAGATGACAAAAGTCAGCTGCAGAGAACAATACAGTGAATAATAAGACACCCTCACTCCCCACCCCAGTGGCCCTCTCTAACAGAGGGAGATGTGGTGCAGACCGACCACAGCAGAACTGCAAAGGACTGGCCAATATCAAAGTTCCACCTACCAACTCCAAGCTGCTGAGAGCTCCTAGGGTAGACTGGGAGGCTCACAGCTGAACAGGAGCCCTAAAAGGGGACAGGACCGGGAACAGGGCCACTGGAGTGGGACCTCCAAGTAGGGGCCAGCATTACTGGAGTGTTGCATGTGCAGGCTGCAGGCCTCTCAGGGTCAGAGCCATTTGCTCGCTGGAGAGGCAGGGAAGTATGAAAAGGAAGCTGGACAGCTCTTATCCTACTTCCCACCTACAGACTACCAAAAAGCTCACGTATACCTTTCCTATCATATCTCGTCTCATATGTGCCCCTCGCCCTATATTTCTCAGACATCCACAGTTTTGGCTTCAACTTTCTCTGCACTCCTCTTCTACCAGAATTCTGCCTTTTTAATGTTCTTGTTGCTCCTCCCCAGCTAATGCAGATCAAAGACTATAAGTATGAGTGAGAAAGTCTGGTTGGCAAGGTAAAAAAGAGCATTGGATTTAGAGACAAGAATCTTGGATTCAAATCTTAGCTCTTCCAGTAATTCACCTGGGTGGCCTTGGTGAAGAGACCCTTTGTGTTGCTGACCCTCAGTTTCTACATCTAAAACATCTACATCCCCACACACATACCAGGGCTGTTGGAGAGACTGAATAAGATAGCGGGTGGGGAAGTGCTTTAAAGTACCCTGTAAAGGCTCAGGGCTTTTCAACTTAACACACAGTCACCACCTGCCTTTTAAAAGAAAGGAACAGGGACTTCCCTGGTAGTCCAGTGGTTAAGAATCCGCCTTCCAATGCAGGGGGCGCAGGTTCAATCCCTGGTTGGGGAACTAAGATCCCACATGCCACGGGGCAGCTAAGCCTGCATGCTCTAGAGCCCGCGCGCCTCAACTAGAGAGAAGCCCACACACCGCAACGAAAGATCCCATGTGCCGCAACTAAGACCCGACGCGGCCAAAAATAAATATTTAAACAGATAATAAAAGAAGGGAACGATCTCTAGGTCAAAAATATCTTTCTTCATCACAGGACTCACATCTAAGAGACACTCCTGGGGGCTTCCCCTTCATATGTTGTTCTGGCACTCTGACCCTCATATAAGGAGAGATTCTAGATTTGTCTATCCAGTAACAAACCACACTGAACCAGCCCTGCCCTCAGACTGATGACATAATGGGCTAGATAGGTGTCTGGGACAAAAAGTGGTGCTCGGGCATAAAGCTTATCCAAGTAGGCCCAGTGTAAGCCCCAGCTGTCCTCAGCCCCTACATGCCAGCAGCTGGCAAAGATCTGTCTAAACTGAGGCAGCCAAGAACTCATTTCCTTGGCTCCATCTCTGCTCTACAGAAAGCCACTGTGCTTCCTCCTTTTACCCAGAACCTCCCAACAGCTGCAGCTGATTCTTGTGCTTCTAGGTACTGCTCTGTGGGGCTATAAGGGGAGCTCCTTTGGCGACCCTGGCAAACCAAGAGAACAGAGGCCACATCTCTCTCCTTTTTTGTAGCCTTCATATGTGAAGGCAAAATGAAGGAGACAAATTGGGGAAAAGATTTTGGAAATTCATGCTGCTCTCCGCCAAATACCTTCTTCAAGGCACTTCATTCTTCTTTAAGGCCAAATCCACATTATTTTCAACAGTTCTCTGACCTACCCAGTTCTATTCAGTGTTTCTCAGCCCCACAGTCTCCATAATCCTGAGTCACACAGGCCAGGGCAGAGGGGAGCAAAAAAGAAAGTAAAGGAGAAAAGGGGAAAGTGGAAGGAGAACAGGAGAGAGGGAAAGAAGTGGGACTTACCATGCCTGCCAAGTGGTTCCAGGCTTCAGCCGTGACGGCATCTCCTACCCGATTCCGACGAGTGAGCACCTCTGACACGGTGAGGCTGCTTTGGGTCCTTCTGGAGGAGAGCTCGGGGGCATCCCCTGAGTTGCCTACCCTTCGGGTGCCCTGCTCCAAAAGGTATGAGCTGGGCCCTTCAAGGTCTGAATAGTCTGTGGAAGATCTCTGGATGTAGGTGTTGGTAGATTCCACATTTTTACCTATTCGAGTTGGGGGGTCTTCTAAAGAGTTCAAGTCTCGCCTACTCTTCCAGGCGTTTCTCACAGTAACGTGTCTGGCATCTGAAGAGCCCACTTCTAAAGGGCCACTATGGCTTTTCCATCTGATTGTCTCCGCTGTGGGTGCATGGCTGTTCCTCTCCACAGGATCTGATGGCTTGATTATAATGCTGCTCCGAGAGACTACCGTTTCTGGCCTGTTCTTCGGGGCCCCATCTCCCATTCTTTCAGCTTCTGTGAACTGCAGGGTGATGTCATGTTTGTGAATGGAGAGCTCAAAGGGGGAGCTGACATGGTTACTAACCGACGTGAGCTCTGGTGGCCCAACCTGGATGTTGCTGGTGGACGTGTGCCTCTCCCGCAGGGCCTCGCCTAGAGCGGCTCTCGGGCTGCTGCTGTCAGAGGGGTAGATAGTTATACTGCTTGTCACTTTGTTTGGCCCTGGTTTGGAAGCAGACTTCTGTTTTGCCAATGTGGCCTCGGTTCCGGATCCTCCCATGACTTTTTTCACATCCTTATCAATGATGACAGGTTTGATGATGGCTCTAGATCGCAAGGCCTCTCTGGGGCTGAAGGGCCGCTGGCTTTTTACCCCGGCACCATTGGCCTCTGGGAGCTCCACGGCATTGGTGGAGGCTCTGACAGTTTTCCCAGATTCATTTTCTGTTCCCACATCTTTATCATTCTCAAAGAGGGAGGTTCTAAGTCCCCCTCGGGATTTGGCCTTTTCTCTAGAGTTGGGCTGTTGCTTGGGCTCTGGAGTAATGGTTGTGTTTACCAATTTGGCAGTAACAAGAGACACCATGTCCATATCGTCATCTGAGTCTGGCTTCTCTCTGCCACTGGATTTGATGACTCGACACCTCAGGGCCTCATGCTGACTACTGTCTTCCATCACAACTGCTATGGGTTGATCAACTCCTTCTTTATTTGGGGTTGAAAAGCCCTGAAGGATGTTCTCTTGGCTTCTGGAGCTATAAGGATACTTTGATAAAGGTGAAGCCTTGGAATTTGGGAAACTGGTATCAGCCTCTGGGCCGTTGGCAGCCTTTTTCCCCTTAGAGAGCCCTTCTGAGGAAGATCTTCTAGGTGTTACCAGAGCTCCCATGGCCTTAGAACTGCCAGAGTCTGCAGCCTGAGTTATTTGACTTCCATTGCCAGGCACCTGCCCCCTCTTGCCAAAGAGGGCCTCGGTGGAGGTGTCAGAAGCCTTGTCACCTCTCCCTGATATGTCATTGGGAACAGATCCATGGGTGGTATCACTAAATGTTCGTGTCGTCTTCTCTACTTTCCCCTTCAGCCCACTCTCAGCACCTGGCTTGGGAGTGCCCTTCCAAACTTTACTGTGCTCCTGAGCAGCTGGCGGGTAGCGGCTCAGCACTGACGGCTGTTCCCTGGACTTCTTCCCTTCACTCTGAGCGGAGCCAGATGCGAATCGATCTTCAGTTCTCTTTGTCTCCTGAGTCCCACTGTCTGCACCTGCCCCTGTGTTGGAAGCTTTGGCTGCCCTCCTGTTGGTAAAGCTGGGAGAGGAAACCTGCCTGTTGCTCAGAGGACAGTTTTCATTGTTGAGAACAAATTCCCTGTTTCGGTGCCTTTCCCGCTTATGCTGAGGGGACAGTTCCCGGGGTGTCTGCTTGGACACAGGTGCCTCATTCCCTTGCCCTCTAAACTTAGTCCTCTCGTGCCTGCCTTTGCTGGACAGGAAAGCATCTTCCCCTTCTACCTCCCCGTTCTCTAATTCTTTCTGTTTCTTGATTTGTAGCTTTATCTCCTCCAGCTGGCTGACTAAGAGTTTGTTTTTATTTTGTTCACTTAGGTAATTATCCTGAAGGTCATTATTTTTGGCCCTCATTTTCTTAAGCTCTTCCTCCAAAGATTCAAAATGTTTGATTTGTGTCTTAAGTTTCTCAATCTCTTGGTTAAGGTCTTTTACTTTGTTGTCTTCCTGATTTCGGTTCTTTTCATTTTCTGATTTGTTTCTTGTTTCATTCTCTACCTGCTTTAGATAGTCCAGAGTTCCCTTCCTTCTTGATTCTTTGGATGGCAGTGTGGAAGAGATACCATCCTCAATTCGTAGGTCATTCCTTTCCAGAAGGTTAGAAGCATTCCTTGTATAATCTCGGTTCATTTTTTTGTTCTGCTCCAATTTCTGAGTGAGCTCTTTTATCAGTTTCTCGTTTTCCTTCTCCTTTTCATTCAAGTATTTTCTCTCACTTACAAAGGTCAGAGTTAGTGATTTCAGCTTTTCTAACTCTGACACTAAACTCTGCTCAGTTTTGTCCAGCCGGTCCTCAGAAGATTCTAGTTCTTTCACTTTGACCCTGAGCATTTCCAGCTCAGAGGAGATTTTCTTCGTCAGGTTTCTCTCCTCATTCAGGCTCAAACACAGTTGGGTGCAGTCACTCTTACTCCTGCTAAAGGCCTCCTCTAGCTTCTCCAGTTCAGCCATTCGTTTCTGAAGCTGCTCAACCTCAGATTTCAGCTCCCGGGTGAGGTTTTCCTCCTCTTCAAGTTTCTCCTTCATCTGCTGACAGAGATCCTCTGCTCTCTTGATTTCCTCATCCTTGCCTTCGATTCTCAGCACTCGCTGACGCAGCACTTCAATCTCAGCCAACATGCTGGAGTTGCTGCCTTCTGCCTGAATCACCTTGTCCTGGAGATCCAGGAGCTCATCCTCTGCTTTCTGGAGGTTTTTTGTGGCTTCCTCCAACTCATCAAGACGGCGGCTTAGACTCTGTAACTTAAACCGCAGGTGGCGGCTGGAAGCAGTATCCTTGTAGCTTGTAAATTCAGCCATGTCTACTGCCAGCCAATGTGGGCTCCTAGAGGCACCCAATTCCACTCGAGGGGATGAGAAACGGTTACCTTTCTCTTGGCATCCACAACCTTCTTTGGCAGCTCGAGACCATTATCAGTCTACAGAAGAAAAGCAGAAAGCATGTCAGGCAGCAAATCTAAAATCTCCACTTCAGCTCCCAGTTGTAAAGAGTTCCCATATGTAATTCTTGTGCCTAGAACATGGCAGGTGTTGAAATTTGTTGAATGACTGAATTTGACTAAACCTGCAGGAAAACACTGGTTCTTTATGGCTGATGCCTAGTTTCACCCTAACGAAGAATGCCACCAATGGCAGCATGGCAAAAAGACACAGAAAAATGCCTCATTTACATGACCAACCGTTCGATATTCAGGAAGCAAAGTCCAACCCAAGACGGATAAAAATAAAATCTGCACCTAGAAGCATCATAAGGATACAGCAGAATACCACAAGATATTTTAAAAGCAGTAAGGGGTGGGGGGGAGCAAATATTCCATGAAGAAATAACAACTGAACTGGATTCTCAGCAGAAACTTTTAAGTGGACGTCAAGAAGATAAGACATGATAACAAAAAAAAAAAAAAAAGACATGATAACATCTTTAAAAGTTCTAAGAAAAAATAACTAACCTAGAAGTAAATCTCCTAGAAGTAAATACCAAGAGAAACTATGAAAGAAAGATATAATTAGTCAGAAATACTTTGAGAACAAAAGGAAAATAAAAATTTAAGTGTTTATCACTGAAAAAACTATTGATAGAGGTACTTCAGAATACAGAAACTGATCATTTAAAGAAGGCATTAGATGCAAGAAGGAAAAGAAATTAACCCAGACAAGCACTGACTGATTCAGTTAAACAATAAAAATCAATTAGGGATTGGTTTTATCCTGCTCCTTCTCCCCAAAGTGGAACTGAAACACTAAACAATAATAACATGTAAATCATAAAGAGAGAAATCAGAATTCAAGTGTTCTTAGAATGTTATATTCTTTGCGAAGAGGATAGTGTTGTTATAACTGACTTTAGACCTTGTTAAGAATAGATATTAATCATATATCTGATAAGGCATTAATAAGCAGAACATATAAAGAACTTCTACAACTTAACAGCGAAAAAGAACCTGATTTAAAAATGGGAAAAGGACTTGAATAGACATTTCTCCAAAGATGATATCCAAGGACGACTACTTTCAAAAAACAAAACGTGTACAGATGTGGAGAACCGGAACCCTTGTACACTGTTGGTGGGAAAATAGCTACTATGGAAAAACATGATGGTGGTTCCTCAAAAAATTAAAAACTAATTATCATATGATCCAGCAATTCCACTTCTGAATATATATCCAAAAAATGAAAGAATGATCTCAGAGGGATGTTTGCACACCTGTTTTTTTTAATTTTTCTTTTGGCCACACCGTGCAGCTTGTGGGATCTTACTTCCCCAACCAGGGATCAAACCCAGGCCCCCTGCAGTGGAAGCGCACAGTCCTAACCACTGGACCGCCAGGGAAGTCCCCATACCTATGTTCATAGCAGCATTTTCACAAGAGCCAAATGGTGGAAGCGACCTAAATGTCCATCAGTGGATGAATGGATACACAAAGTGTGGTTTATACATACAATGAAATGTTATTCAATCTTAAAAAGGAAGGAAATTCTGACGCTTCAACATGGATGCACCTTGAGGACGTACTAAGTGAAATAATCCAGTCACAAAAGACAAATACTATATGATTTCACTTATATGAGGTACCTGGAATAGTCAAATTCATAGAAACAAAGTAGAATGGTGATGGCCAGAGGCTGAGGGAAAGAGGAAATAGGGACTTGTTGTTCAATGGGTATAGAACCATTTTTATCTTTCAGTTCTGCAAGATAAAAAATGTTCCAGAGATTGGTTGGACAACAGTGTATATATATACTTAACACTACTAAAAAAGTGTACATTTAAAAATGGTTAAGATGCAACATTTTATGTTATGCATTTTTTGCCAAAATAAAAAATAATTTTTAAAAACGTTAAGGCACAAAAGAAGTAAAATACGTAGAGATGGTAGGGTATACTTTCTGGTCCAGCATGTAAGGAGCTTCTAAAGTCATCACTTCTTCCTAACAAGTAAAAAGCTGAACAAACAAAATCAACAACTCTTCTTAGATCCATCAGAGAACTGAGGTTACAGAGAAAACTGCTTCCCCCAAAGTTAAACAGACAAGTGGACACAGAGAACACAATTTACCAGAGCAGAAATGCAGGAGTAGAAACCTCCACGGAAACTAATACCAGGTTAGGAAAACCTAAACTGCAACTGACAAACTTCTCGAGGCTCAGGGTGGACAACTTTGGGAGTCAAAAACAACAGGGGGTGTCTCAGTCTTAGGTGGGGGATGCACCACATTTTGTGGGCTTTACCTCCAGGAGCTGTACCAGGTTCCCACAGTGAAGATGGGAAAAAATCCCCTCATGCTTCCAGCTGGAGGAGGGTAAATTAACCACTTTGAAACCAGGGTCTAACCTATTAGAGTCTTATCCGAGCCTAACTAACCTGGGGGAAGGAAAATACCCAACTCCAGCTACCTCTAACTTTCTACATGGTGGAAGGAATATGCCCAACTCCAGCCATCCTCTACCACCTAGGGGATGGGGTAGGGAGAGGGGTGGCACGTAGGACCCGACATTGAGAAGCACTTGTGAAATTCATAGCCCAGGGGCCCAGGCTTACTAAAAAACTGAGACCTAATCATGGGACAACAGGATACTTCCCCTTCCCCAACACTGTTCCACAACATCACTAAAGGCCTACTTGCCTAAGTTATTTTTACCCAGGACATCATGTCCAGCTTTCAACAAAAAATTACAAGGCATACTAAAAGACAAAAACACAGTTTAAAGAAACAGAGCAAGCATCAGAACCTGACTCGGATATGGAAGAGCTGTTAGAATTCAGACAGAAATTCAAAATGACTATGATTAATATGCTAAAGACTCTAATGGAAAAATTAGACAACATGCAAGATCATATGGGTAATGTAAGAAAAGAAATAGAAATTACAGAAAAGAATCAAAAAGAAACGTTAGAGATCAAAAACACCAACAGAAATGAAAAATGCCTTTGTCTCATTAGTAAACTAGACACAGCTGGTAGAGAATCCCTGAGCTTGAGGATTTGTCAGTAGAAACTTCTAAACCTGAAAAGCAAAGAGAACGAATGACTGCAAAAAAAATGGAACAGAATATCCAAGAAGTGTGGGATAACTACAAGAAGTGTAACACATGCGTAACGGGAATACCAGAAGAAGAAAGGAAGAGAAGAAAAATTTGAAGCAATAATGACAGAATTTCCCCCAAATTAATGTCAGCACCAAACCACAGATTCAGGAAGCTCAGAACACCAAGCAGGATAAATGCTAAAATCAAAAACAAAAACACCAAGGCATATCATACTCACACTACAGAAAATCAAAGATAAAGGAAAAATCCTGAAAGAACCCAGAGGAATAAACACCTTACCTACAGAGGAACAAAGATAATTAACATCTGACTTCTCAGAAATCATGCAAGTGACAAGACAGTAGAGTGAAATGTTTTAAATGTTGAGAGAAAAACACCACCAATGTAGACTGCTGTACCCTACAAAATTATCCTTCAAAAGTGAAGGATAGGGACTTCCCTGGTGGTCCAGTGGTAAAGAATCCACCTTCCAATGCAGGAGATGCGGGTTTGATCCCTGGTTGGGAACTAAGACCCCACACGCCACAGGGCAACTAAGCCCACGCGCCACAACTACTGAGCCCGTGTGCCTCAACTAGAGAACCTGCGTGCTGCAAACTACAGAGCCCACGCACTCTGGAGCTCACATGCCACAACTGCAGAGCCCATGCACTCCGGAGCCTGTGTGCCACAACTAGAAAGAGAAAACCCATGCACCACAACTAGAGAGAACCCACGCACCACAACAAAAGATCCCACATGCTGCAACTAAGACCCAACAGCCAAAAATAAAAAATAAATTTAAAAAAAGTCAATTCCGAAAGCGAAGGAGAAATAAAGACTTTCTAGGACAAATAAAAATTGAGGGGATCTGTTGCCAGTTGACCCACCTTACAAAAAATGTTAAAAGAAGTTCTTCAGTAAGGAAAATGATATAGGTCAAACAGAACACATTAAAAAAAGGATGAGCATTAGAGAAGGAATAAGTCCAAGTAAAATAAAATTTTTAATTGTTCCTATTCTTAATTTATCTAACAGATAATAATTTTTCAAAATAATAATAGCAATAATGCCACAACTACTGAAGCCCACACGCCTACAGCCCATGCTCCGCAATAAGAGAAGCCACTGCAGTGAGAAGCCTGCGCACCACGGTGAAGAGTAGCCCCCATTCACACGACTAGAAAAAGCCCAGGTGCAGCAATGAAGACCCAATGCAGCCAAAAATAAATAATTTTTTTTAAAAAACCCACTTTAAATTTTAATAAAGACATATATAGATTAAAAGTAAAGGGATCAAGAAAGATATACCATCTAACACTAATCAAAAGAAAGCTGGAGTAGCTACATTAATTTCAGATAGCAGATTTCAGAACAAGGAATGTTATCCAGGGGAAAGGGGGATATAACATAATGATAAAGGGGTCAATTCTCCAAGAAGACAATAGTCCTTAATGTGTATGTGCATCAAAATATGTGAGGCAAAAACTGATAGAACTGCAAGGAGAAATAGATAAATCAATTACTGTAGTTGGAGAGTTCAACACCTCTCTATGATAAATGGACAGATCCAGCAGGCAGAAAATCAATAAGGACATAGCTGAACTCAGCAACACCATCAATCAACTGGATATAATGGACATCTATAGACTATTTCATCCAATAACAAAATAAACATTCTTCTCAAGTTCACATGGAACATTCACCAAGACAGGCTACATTCTGGGTCATAAAACACACTCAAGCAAGTTTAAAAGAAACTATACAATGTCTACTCCCAGACCACAATGGAATGGAACTAGAAATCAGTACCAGAAAGATAGCTGGAATTCCAAAATATGTGGAGATTAAACAACACACTTCTTTGACATGGGTCAAAGAAGAAATCTC